AACATCATCAATTATGAATTAGGGTGTTCGTATCGAAAATTTCTTACTGTATGCATTTACAGCAAGCAGGTGGTTCTATTCTGTTTTAAATGCTTTTGACCATTGGAAAAAACTCATAAATTATTTTTATTTTGAAATAAAAATTTCTGTTACATCTCAAATCTTGATCACCAGAAAAGCTCTCTTTGCCGAAGAAAAATCTCAAAGCAGAAATGTTTCACTTCTTGAAAAACTTTCACTCACCGTAAGTTCAATTTCATAGGTTTTTTTTGTATTAAATCGAATAGAAGCGACACCAACCCCATCGCTGATTTGGTTTTAAATTAATTGGTTTGCCATCTTTCATGTTAAGATTTTGCAGCATCAAATAAAAAAAGGATATAAAGCTGGTTTAAAGCTTCCCTTATACACAAAATGGGAGGCAATTGCGACTGTCATAATTGAATTCAGGGCCCAGCAAAAACTTTTATAGATTATATAGATTATAAAAATTTATAGATTATGTTGTACTGATGCGGGATGAAACGCAAAATTTTCAGTTTTAAATATTGGGCTCTGCTTACAGTTTTAGTGTATTTTCTGCGAACATAGAGGACTAGCCGTTAAAAAAGTTATTTTTCCTTTGACCTGTTATTTCAATTGAACTCAGAAAAAAAGGCTTTTCTATAAAAAAAAATAGGGTTTAACGGTTTTTGCATTTTGTTTTCAATTAGGCCGATTGAGTTTTCACCTCAGAGTTCTGCTTTAACGGAAAAATTTCAAAAACTAAAAATTTTGAAAAATTGACTTTTTTATGGACCTACCAGTTTCCTTTTTAAGAAACCAAAATGGGGCTTTTTGAACTTTTTACATTTTTTTTTAGAAACCTCAATGTCAGATTAGTTTTTGAAAAAGAAAACAAATATTTTTAAAAAATGGTCCTAAATTGAAATAATTCTGACTTGTCCTAAAACGGTAACTTTTTCCAACGAAAAGGGGGTATACCGGTTTATGCAGCAAAATTGCATGCCAATAATTTTTTTTTGATGTTATTTTGATAAACCTTTAGTCTTAAATTTTACATTAAGCAGGGTAAGTTTCGAGAAAAAAAACAAAAAATTCCAAAATATGCTCCAAATTTCAAGAATTTGTCTTTTCCGAGGGCCATATAATTTCTTTTCAAAAAAATTGGAGCATATCTGCTTAAGCACAATCACTGCCTATAACCTGGTGTTTTCATTAAAACCTAAAATTTAAAATTTACTGGGTCGTTTTTGCAAAAAATGAAAAAATTCCAAAATACGGTTGAAACATCAAAAAAATGACTTTTTCCACAGCCATAATTATTTTCTACAGAATTGGGTTCTCCCGAGATGTTCAACATTTAAATGATATTTTGTTAAATTTCATTTGAATAAATTTTGAAAAAATATGAGCGTACATAAAATATATATTATAAGCGATGAAGTGCCAAAAAACGTTTACATCTTGTCCACCAACTTCTTAATAATAAAATGAAAAATTGGGAGGAAAAAAAATTTATATTAAACATTGAACTGCCTACATAATGTAAGCAGAATTAAACAAGGAAAGTGTTGCCTCAAAAGCAAAAATCTGATATTTAGTCAGAACTTGTTCGGGATGATTTCGAATTGAAACTAAATTTTTAAGTTTTCCTTAACGTATTTAGCTAGCCTCTCTTGTCTTTTTTATCAGATTTTTTTTCAATTCTACTCAAAAGTTGTGCCGCCCTTGCATTGTTTAGTACAAATGGCGTTCGTAGAATCTAGCAACATAATAATAACATCAACTATTTGGGGAGGAATTTGAGAAGAATTCTGTATGCAGGTGTGTTTTATTTTTTTTTGCTTTTCCAGGCAAAATCAGGTACCCTTATTAATCATCGGAATGGATTAAGTGATATATCATAAAAACTTTTGAGTCCTGATTTGAACAAAATTTAAAAATTTGCAAAAAAGAACTTCAAGTGTCGAGAAAAATCGGTTTGACATTTATACTTTTTCGTCTATTTTCTAGCGAGTAAAGCAATCGAGTAACGTTCGTTTTGTATGAAAATTATCATTTCGGCTAAAAATTGATAAACTTACCAGAAAAAAGTTTAATTTTGGATGCCGTATCTAGCGCGTCTCTGGGAAAAAGTTTTTTTTCGAAAGTATTTGAATTTTTTAGTGCAAAAAATTGGAAAAAGAGAATTAAAAAGTTTTTTTTTTAAATTATCTTTTTTGCTTCCAAATTTTTTGAATAAAATTGTAATTTTCATGCCTAATTCAATAACTTTATGCGCGTTTTTTTAGCTTTATTATTAAACGTAAAAGAAAAGACACTAACGTGAAAAAAATTTCTGAAAATATGTTCGGAACATTCTATGCTACTTGCACAGCAACCGTCCATCCGTGTTTCAGTTTTGAACGTTTTAAGAGCAATTTAAACAGCCGCTTAAGCATAAAAAGCACGAATTTTTGTGAGCGTTTAGTATAAATAGTATAAAATACTTTTTTTATAATCAAGTAGCATACTCCTTGGATAAATTTAATTGCCTCAATTCACTGTGGAGTGAAATAATTTTTAGCTAATACTCTGAAAGAACCTAATATAATGTGCGTTATTTGTAGTTTTCAAATTATTCCCAAAATTTAATCATAATAGTTTTGTCGAAAAAGATGACAGGTAAACAAAATTTTGAAATTCGAGCTCCAGGCATCAATATTTTTCAGATGATACAAAAAAACTGTTTAGTTAGAAAGTTTATATAGAAAGTCTTAATAAAATTCACGCCAAGCATAAGTTTTACGCATTTTCTCTGAATGTCGGAACAGTAACTTATCAAAACAGATCACAAGTACATTGTTTTTTTTTAAACTGAACTCAGGGCATCACTGGTTTTCAGATGATAAAAAAATACCCTTAAAAGTGTTCAGTTAAAACAATTTTTGCCGATCTTATTTATTCCACACTTTCTTCAAAACTCGGAACAATAACTTATCAGAAGATCCAAAAAGCATCCTTTTAAATTTTTTGAACTCAGGACATCACTGGTTTCCAGATGATATCAAAACTACCGTTAAAAGTGCTCAGCTAAAAAGTTTTTTTTTTGGCTGAATAAAAAAACGATGTCATGTGTAAATATTACGCAATGTCTTCGAAATTCGGACCAATAGTTTATCAAAAAAATCACTAGTAAGTAATTTTTGTAAATTTCAACTCTGGACATCACTAGCTTTCAGTTGGTATGAAAAATTCCGTTCAAAAGCGGCTAGTCAAAAATTCAGTTCAAAAGCGGCTAGTCAAAAATTCCGTTCAAATGCGGCTAGTCTGGAAAAGAAATCACCCCGAGCACAAATATTCCGCCACTTTTTTGAAAATGGGTGCAAAAAACACAGTTTGTAGTAAATTAATAACTAGATTGATGAGTTGATCGAAATTTTTTGACTTTTTGCTTTTAAAATATTTTGTGCTCCTCATTTGTTCAGAAAAAGAAAACTGAGTGGTAACCAAGAATTTTGAATGTTAGTGTCAAGTCCAAATTATCAAACTCCTAGCATTAAGATGTTTAGCTTTCAGAAAACATCTCGAAAGAGCTTTGATTGAAAGAAAAATCTTGCTTTTAAAGCAGCATTTTACTGTTTTCGTTCCGCTCGATCTTAGATGGTTTCATGATTAATCAAAGATAAAATCTTCTGCTTTGTCTCTGAAATTGAAATTATTATATTTTAGTAGGCAGCCATAATTTTAAAAAATTTCCAAACACTCAATTGGTTTTATATTAAAACTAATATACGATTTAGAAAATTCCTTTGCATCTGCTTACGTGTTTCTAAATTTGATTACGCCTATAAATGCACCAAAAACACTAATTTTGCAAAAGAAAACTTACAGCACAATTTTTGGTGTTTTTAAATCTAAACCTCTTACAAAAATAATTAAATACTTATCGTCAGATTAGAAATTAAATGATCAAACTATTCAAAACTGTTTCTTCAACTATGCTTCAAAAAGCATCAGAAAAGCGATCTACTCAAAAAGTACATGGCAGAAAAGTACAAAAGTAAAACCAGAGATAAGCTATTTTGTTCTCTATAAATACAATTTATCAAATTGCCAAAGGTACCAATCACCATATTTGTTTGAAAAAAACGTTGCTTATTATATACACGAGGTTTTTTTATTTCAATAACGGACTGCTCTGGCAGAAATATAGGAAAAGTGTCCCTCGCTTGGACAATAATTTATGGATTGATTATTTGCTCTGTCGCATATTTTCCCAATTTGATACATTTTAAACATGTCACACTTGTGTAATACTGCATTATGTTTGTGACTATCACTATATTCCATTGCTTTTTCTCTTAACTTTTGAGCTCCACAAGATTATGTTTTACTTTGCAAGGTAATAAATAGTAAACCCTTCAATAGTTTCAATTGCCAAATCCCTGGAAGTAAAGAGCAAGAGCTATTTTAGTGTAGTTTTATCGAAAACTATAATCCGTGATAAAAACCTTGTGTATTTTGAGGATTTACATATTTGTTACTCAAATTCCTTAAAGCTCCATTTCCGTCAAACTTTGGTTTCCTAGACAGTTGAAACTGAAGTTCTGTCTATAACGCAATTTTACACAAATCTCTCTGTAAAACCCCCAAAAGATAAATTAGCCGGACATTGCCGTAAGAAAAAAGATCCTTTTTCTAAAAATAGCTGTTTTTAGAAAGTACCGGTTAAAAAAGTTTCTAATGTTATGATTTCTTACCATTAAATTTTTTAACCTATTTAATTTAACCACCTTTTTGAAGTGAACTATCGTGAAGTCGATCGATAATAGTATCGCCGTTTTTCGGTTTTTCGTCAGTCACTTATTCAATTCGACTCATTAAATCATCGAGCCATTAATCGTTTCAATAAAGAGGGCTTTTTGAAGCGTCGGCTAATTATAAATTGGGATGAGCAATAGTAGTGGCTTTGAGAGGTTTGACAGTGTGGTGAGTTTGCGTGTCATGTTGCATAGGGTCCGCATCCAGTTCTACACACATGTGTCCAACAAGGAGAAGCTGGACTTCATCTGGAACAACAACTTCAGAACTGGTCAGTGTCAATTTCAACTCAAACTCAAACACTTCAAACCAGAGTTGGAACCGGGCCTGAACTTGAGGCCCAGCCCGGTTGCTTCAGACTCGGGCCCGGCCCGGCCCATTTGGAAAGCAAAAATTTCAAGCCCGGGCCGGTTTTTAACAGAAACATTTAATTCCGAACAATAAGAAAAGTGAAAATCAAATGTGAATGTCAGAAAAAAATCAAAATTTAATAATTCTGTTGACCGCAGCCGATCCTAGCAGTTCAATTTGGCTGAGCAAAAAGTGAAGTGTGAAAGATGTGAACTCTTGTGAAAGTCAGGCATGTAAAAAACCCGGGCCCGGTTCCGCTTCTGCTTCAACGAAGCGAGAGGGGATCGCGAGGGTTTGAACTCATAAGGAGGAAGGCATCTCTTCCTTACCCCGGCAGTAATCGTCGCAGTCCAAAAAATGCACGAATGCAATTAAACGAAAAAAAAAACGATTTTAAAACAGTGATGCAGAGCTTCGCCCACTTGCAACTCAAAAGTAGAATGGGGCGACGACCCCTCTGTCGCAAAAATCTACATTAGAAGAAATTACATGTCCAAGAAATTAAATGTTCAACTTGACAAATACATTCCGACAAACACATCAACAGTGTTAAGTTATCATGCAGAAAAGTTTATCGCGATCCAAAAGTTACAGAAAGGAATCACAAAGTGTTTCAATTTCAGCAAAACTTGATTAAAGTTAATGAAAATAGTATGATAGCATGATCAGGAAGCCGACAAAAAGTAAACAGACAAACAAAAGTTTGATAATAAATCTTATCCCAGAAAAAATTCTGACAAGTTAAGAACCCATAACTTTTGTCGTCTCAAGCTCAGAAGTTACTTGCAAGTTACTCAAACTTGATATACAATTAAAGTAAATCGAAAAAATGTGTCAGTGATTTTGTTACTTAGGTTGTTAACCCAAAAAGATTTTTTCTGATTTATTAATGCTTGTAAATAGCAAGCATAATAAATACCACCATACACATAATATAAAAAAAAAGTTTCCACCAAATTTTTTCAGCAAACTAAGAAAAAAAAAGATTTTTTCAAGAAAATGTTATAATTTTTCTTGCTTAACTTTGAAATTTTATTATAGAGATGTTAGGATAGTGATTTACATCTTAAATTTGTTTGTATCAGATGCGAATGGTTGAATTCTGACAAGAAATTTTGGAAAAATCTGGATCACCGTATCTATGTATGTATTGACACATTAAGAACAAAACACCGATAGAGTTAAAAACCATTTTCCCAACTCACAGGGACAAATGTTTCCTCAAACCCCTAAAATGGAAAATATGCCAAACATTTTTGACACGAACACAAAAAACTTTGCAACACTTAGCGTGCAGCCTAGTTTTATATGCAGGCAATTCAAAAGCTACTGAATTGCTGAAAATATGGCGAAATACTATATAATAGAAATACCATTTCGTCCATTCAGAAAACAAAGTTGTTTGTGGGGAAAAATTTAGTACCCGGTTGCATTACCCCTGCTTATCGCAAGGGTGAAAGCATCTCATTGCCAAAAAAATCTTGTTCTATATTTATGAGACCCAATTATCGTAATTAGGCAATTACTTAATTAAGTAATTAACAGGATCTTGCATTACGAGACCAAACTGTACACTGGATAGGGGCACAATTTTTTGTCTGTCTGTTTCTGGACTCCAGAGACAAATCTTTAAGCATGTTCCAAAATGTAAGTGGATTCCACTTACAAAAATTTCGTGGATTCCGCGTACAAATACCTGTACCGTAATTTTTGTCGGCATCATTTGTTTTGTTGCGGATTCCGCAACAAGTAAATATAGCTAGTTGTTCTGGATTCCGCAAAATGTAAATGGAATCTGCAAAATGTAAGTGGAATCCGCAAATTTAAGTGGAATCCGCAAACAGAATGCGGATTCCACTTACAATTTGCGGGTTCCACTTACAATTTGCAGATTCCACTTACAATTTGCGGATTCAACTTCAATTTGCAGATTCCGCTAACAGTTGCGGATTCCGCATCAGCTCAATGTAAATATACACATGTTTTATTTTTGTTTGTGGATTTCACAAATTGTTCTGGATTCCGCAAATACAATTGCGGATTTCGCAAATTCGCCTATTTTTGGAGCGATTTTGAACGGTACAATGTTTTAAGTATTTGTTTCTAGAATCCAAAACAGCAAGGAGATCAAAGAAAAATAGCAATGTTGCGGATTTCGCGACAAATCTGATTTTGGCCTGTTGCGGAATCCGTTTACAGTGCACAGAATGCACAGTTTGGCCTCGTAATGTGTTAACTATTTCCCCCATTTTGGACCTTGTTAATTATTGCCCCCCCCCCATGCATGTATTATTTTTGACAACTATTTCTGTATAAAATATGCATTTCAAAAATGTCGACAATTAAGTCGGTCTTCATTTTCGCGCCTTCGTGTTTGTGTTACTCACTATTTATATAACACCCACGTAAATTTTTTTCAATATATATATTTTCTGAAAATTGTTTCAAGCTATTGAAAATGTGGCCACCAAGTTGAATTTCTGAAAATCGAAGTAGAGGGGGAAATAGTTAACAAGATCCAATTACCCAACTAAGTAATTACTTGATTCAAATAATTCAATATCTGGAAATCTGAACACAGAATTACAAAGTTAAATTTTTGGGCTCAAATCAATCTTTCTTTTTTTAACGTGCATCAGCTGAGTGTTGTGTTGTTTAGCATTTATCATTCGGTGTCTGCTGCTGCTGTTGAAACTGGTCAGCTGTGTGGTGTATGTGGCCAACTTCGTCGAATACGAACAGCCCATCACTCACTGGTTAGTAAAGGTCAAAGGTCAAACATCAAATAATATGGTGCAAATTTTTCAAGCTATTTTTTTAACCAGTTTAAAGAACCAGTTTAGTTTATTTTTGCAAATTATCCTGTTCAATTGTAGTTTTACATGCTTTTATGACTGAACGTCTGAGAGTAAGATATAAGTATGATTTAAAAGTCTAAACTTTTAAACTGAATTTCAAGTTTCTTGTATGAAAAGAGATGAAAACGAGAAGTAATACGGCCTGCTCTGTTTTTTTTCCCTGAATATTTCTGTTGATACCTTGATTATTACCGCGATTCTATTTTTCTTATGCTTTTTTGGTGGAAAAATTTCATGTTCTGATTATCTCCAAACAACGAGGACGGATCAAGCCGAGCTGCGGTTTTGGAGAAAGCGTATTGAATGAAGTGGAAATGAGAACCAAAGTGAAAGTAACAATTTTTGAAAGGACACTTTGTCGTAGGAAAAAAACTATCGGTTATTTATCTGAATTATATTTAACTATCTCCCTATGGTACCTAGCAGATAATAACAGCCATTATAATGAATTAAATCAATGGCTAAGCATATGCGATTTTTTAACACCTAGTAACGAGTTTCACCCTCCCGTTTTTGCAGTTGGGGGAAGTGGAATATTTAATTACCCCATCTGAGTTAGGACCGAAGTGTAACTCATAGAGTAATTTCGGATAGGGTACACCGTCTGCTCGTCACGCTATCTTATTTTCGGCCGGATAGATTCGTGCAACTTCTTAGTCTAATACCGATCCTAATCTTACTCTTATACTATCTAGTCTCAGGTTGTTTAACTAGTCTCTGCTAGGCTCAATAGATCTAGGGTATACTGGTTTATTGCGGCTGCTGAAGTGCTCGGGAGAGTCCAACTAATTTCTAAGTTAAATTCAAATCTCTCTGGTGCTGAAATTACAAGTAACTTCAGCACTTACAAATAAGTGGGTTGTTAGTTAGATGGATCATGATTGGTTAATATTAAATACTTTACATTGGTAAAACATTTAATTTATCCAATCATAAAATGTAGTTTAGATCAGGTTCCACCCATCCGGGTTTTACAGAGTTTTTTAGAATAGTTCTTCTGCAATTCGAAGGATGGATGATGGACGTTTGTTTTTGGCGAACATCATAATTTTCTTCCGTTTCCTCTTTTGTTAGGGAAGTTCCAGGAAGCTGGAGTTAGAGACATAAGACGTTGTGTCTTCTAGTGACAACGACTACGTCTTTGCAACAAACTCAAATCTGATTTCAGAATGGTTTGCTATGTCAGGTTTTTCTGTTCTGCGTGGAGAACTTCTTTTGTGTATGATCTAGTTTGGGAATGGCGTGGAGATTGTGCGTGGAGGGGATGCCTGGTTACTCGGATCTGTACGTATACTTGAACATCGAGGTGGTCATTGGTCTAGTTCAATGAAGTCCTTTTCTGCGAGGTCAAGTCGTACTCTAAATCCTTTGAGTTGTGATTGTGAGCGGCATATCGATTGTAGTTGGTCATTCTCTCTCGAGTGTAGTGGGGTCGTCTTGTCTTTTGATGTTCGTCCTTGGTGTTGTATTCTGATCTATATATTGCATCATGTAATTTTACATTTTATAAAACTTTTATTAGTTTAATATTTTTTAATAATGATTTTAGTTAGTTGTTTTCACAAAAGCTTTTTGTTTTAGTTCGGTTATTTTGAAGAGTTACTCACACTTGAGTAGCTCTTATTAAAAATAGTGGTGTGGTCACAAAGCGTGGATGTAGCGCGGTGGGTTAGGCCGGCTATAGAGCATGCTCAGGACGTCCTTCCTGGTGGGTTAGGCCAGGAGTGGGAGTATGATTTCATGCGGTTTTTGTGAGGGGTCCTGTTATGTGACAACGTTTTATGTTGAGTTTGTTGTGGTCTTACTTATGTTTTGTTGGTTGTGTCCTTTTTTCAAAAATCAAATTGTTTGTGGTATGGGTTTGTCTTTCGACTTTTTTGTGTTTTATTATTTCTTTCTTAGACTTTATAATAGTCTTCAAAAGAATAAATTATCCAGTTTTAAACTGGGTTAATCCGGTTTGGGTACCGTTGGTTTCTTTTTCTAAGTCATGCTGTTATTCTATGATTTGTGGTATTTAGTAAGCTGCGTTGGTTAGTTTTGTTTAGTATATGATTCCTTTCCAACCGGGTTAAAGGAAAGTTTGAAACATGTTATTATATGTTAGAGTTGTTGAGTGTGAAAACTTGAAACTGAATTTCATTATTTTAAACAATTCTTCGTGGGCGAGCTGTGCGAGTGTGGATAGAATTTCTGTGCGAATGAATGAAAATATCAAAAGGTTAGTACTGCATTTGCATTTATTTAATTTACTACATAGAATTTAGAAATTTACTGCTAGTCATGGGGGAATATTAAGATACAAATTTTCATCATAATTAGATTTACTGCTTGTAGGGGAAAATTTTAGAAATGAATTTACTGCATTGGTATTAAATTTATAAATTTATAAGTGTAAGAGATTAATAGAATTTTTGAAATCTGTTTGATGAAATTTGCGATTTTTATTTGTCTTTTGTGGTTTTTGTAGGTGATCGTCGGATGAAGGCTAAAAATCTAAAGAAAACATGAATAAAGTATGGTGAGTTTTTTAATATTTTAATTAGTTAGTAATATTCATTTAATTCATACTTACCTGTTAGTCGTCGGGGAAAAACCGTGGGGGAAGATGTCGTGAATTAGTTCTGAAGTTGTTAGTAGTTTAGCTAAGATGCGGATGATATTTTTAGTTTGAAGCAGTGGCCAAAGCAATTGAAGTGCCTTGATAGTGGTTAGTTCTTCAGTGCCAACTGCAAACTCATAAGGTGTGTTTTGGATTAGGTTATATAATTTGTGATTGAATTTAGTGTTGTGGATGAATTCTAAAATTGGGATTTCTATGGGTTGTACAAACTCGTGCGGGATAAGGAAGGGTCGGGATTCTTCGGCGTTGAAGGTCTTGGTAATGGGACAGAAGATGTACATTTGGGTTATGGGGTCATAATTACGAAGAATACCATGGAGGTTAGTGTCTTTAATACAATATGTGAAATTTAGGAAAAATGGTGAAGTGTATTTGGAATTAATGAATTGAAAACGATGGTGTGGTTGTCTAGAGGGTGTGTGTAGGTCAAAGTGATTTTGGATGAAACGATAATAACTATATGTGTGGGTTTGTTTAGTGCGCAACATAATATCGTGTGAGCAGTGTAAATCTCTTTCGTGTGGTGCAAGGAAATGAAAGGTTAGTGAAAATATTTGGAAGCGTTCTTTAAAACTTTCGTATGCTTGTGTGTCTGTTAGTGCTTCTGAAATAATGTGATCAAACTTTCGGTCGAAGATGTTTAGTGTGAATGTATATGGTGTCTTGATGAAAAATTTCTCGGTAATTTGTGGATTAGCGAAGCGATCGTCGTCTAAGAAATGATCTTGGTTAGCTCTGATGATGTTGTGATCATAGTATTCGAGTGTATATTCGTTAGCTCTAGGTGCAGTATGTGTTTTTAGTGATTTTTTATATCCAACGTAAGTAAATTGTCTAGCGGTTAGTGGTGTAGTGAGTCGATATAGCATGTCCGTATTTCGCTCTATATCGATGTGAGTGTTAGATAAAGGTAAGCAAAGAGGGTTAGTGAAATGATAATATGAGGTCCAAGAGAGAGTAGGCATTAAAACGTATTCATCTACGAAGTTGCGTGTTTCGTTAGTGTCGTGGGGGGTGTTTAAGGTGTATTGTGGGAATGAGGGTAAGGTGATGGCTAAAAATTCTTTTGTGTTAGTATGCTTGGGGTGGTTGATGTATTCACGGGCTGTTCCTGGTTTTGCTGGGAAAGGATGGTTGGGGAACTTTCTTTTAAAAGTGCGGTAAGCTCTATTAGTGTTGAGTGAAGATTCAGTTGATGTGGATGATGGTGCTAATGATTCAGTATAAGTTGAAGAGGGTGTAGGGGTAGGGGGGTTGGATGAATTTATTGTGGAGGAGATTTGGTTTATGGTTGGGGTATTAAGGTGGTAGGGTTGTTGTTGAAGGGTAATAAAATTATCTAGCTCTGGGGAGATTCGGGGGGTGTCTGGAGAATGAGATGATTGGTCAGAATGGTATGAGGAATAGGTTGGGGTAACTTGGGAAGCATAAGAGGGTGTGGGAGTAATTGGGTCAGGGTTATTGGATAATATGGGTTGAAAAGGGGGTTGAGAAAAATTAGAAGAGTTATGAAAATTATTGGATGGGGATGGTTCTGAGTCGGCGAATTCATCGGGGGTTTCAATATTCGGGTTATTTAGCTGTGAGATGGAGTATAAAACTGAGATGTGTGAATTAGTGTCGGAATTCATGCCTGATGTTACATTACTAGATGGAAAATCGGGTGGCGGAAAAGCAAAAAGTGGTATTATTGGGATTGGAGAGGTAAGATTGGTTGGGTGGGAATTTGATCGGTGTAGTGATCCAAGTTGGCGGCTCATCGTGGGCTAAAAAAATGATTTTTTTGAGACTGAAAAGCGGTGGTATGGGGTTGTTCAATAATTTGTTCATAAGTATTATCATCTTGTGACTGGTGTGTCATTATATGTTGAATGGGACTTTGTGATGTGGTGAGTCGAAAATTTGGATTATGTGTGATGGCTAAGTTTCGAAAATTTCGTGGGACTAGGGATAGTGGATGGTTATTTGGTAGGGCTGGTAATTGTGGTGCCGTTGGCGTTATGTCTACATTGTTATGTTCTTCGTCGTATGTATTTTGTCGTGTTGTTATTTTTGTGTTATATTCTTTTATTTGTGCGTCTAAAAGAATTTTGTTTATAGATGTAGAAAAGATTCCAAAAAATCCTGCAAATAGTATGCGTGCTACACTTGCTTGTCTGTTTACTTGTGTGTGTATAGCACATGTGTTGTAGATTCCTTTTAAAAGTGAGAAAAGAAATCCAATAAAGTTAAACATTGCGTATAAAATAGTCAATTTTTCTAAGATGTAGTAGGG